AGTCAAAAATGGGCAAGAAGACAAACGGCCTAAGAAATGTATTTCTTTAATAAGCTTTCAAATCAACCCCCTGCCACCAAAAGTGAATATGATCCAAAGTGGATTGTGTTTGTCTTTATACCAATGCAGCTATACAATATATATTGTTTTATTTTTTTATTGGAAGGAGCCCATGATGGCAAAAGTCCTCAGAGTCCGTGAAAGTCATATGTAGTCCTGGGTCTTGGGAGTCCAGAGAGAAGGGGTTGGGGCTACTCAGTTCCGGGGAACTCAAGGTGACAGCAAATTTTCAATCACCACAGAAATACCAGTTTTTTTTTTAACAATGCTATATCTGTACCAGTGCATTGAGCCCCTGTAATAGAACAGGTCCATCCTGCTGTTGTGGAGAATGATGTTAAAGGGATGCAGCCTCTTTTCATACCTACTGTGCCACATGGCAGGGATTCCTCAACATTAGCTGGAATGCATGCCAACTTTATTTATTTATTTTAGATTTTATTTATTTATTTGATAGAGAGATAGAGAGGGCCAGAGAGCACAAGCGGGGGCTGGGGTGCAGAGGAGAGGGAGAAGCAAACTCCCTGCTCAGCACGAATCCTGACATGGGGCTTAATTCCAGGAACCTGGGATCATGACCTGAGCGGAAGGGAGACAATTAACTGACTAAGCCAGTCTGGCGCCCCTCATCCCAACTTTAAAACATAGTTCTCTAGTAAAGACTTCCCCAGCTTTCTTTCTCTGAGTGAATATGGAACATTTGTTCAGATAGAGACCAGCAAACTTGGGAAGTTGAAGGGTCAAAGGAATGAGTGATATGGAACATTTTGGGGGTTCAAGCTACCCATACATCTGGAAAGATAATTCAATAGGCAGCTCTATTTATGAAAACAAAATGGTACTTCACATTGATAATGACCAACTAGATCTACCCAAATTGCAGCTGCATGACTGGAAGGAGCTATTAACCTCCAAAATGCTCCCACTGAGGGCTTGGTCATTTGACTCAGTCTTTGGCATTACCTTTCTTTTCTGCTATCCTGTAGGCTGATTTCCAACAGCCAGATTAGAATATAGCCAACATTTTTCACTTACCATTTTTTCACCCTCTCAAATCAATGGCTTTGATTCCATTATCGAAATTCAGTCCCATGCCCACATCCTGGGCTCTATCATTTCCCAGAATTGTTCTACATCTGAAATTACAATAAATTCCAGTACATCCCTTTGCTCATTACTGCCAATTCTTCCAGCTCTCACCCCTTCACTATGGCCACGCTTGGTTTTCCGGTTTGTTTGCCATTCTCATTCCTTTGACCCTTCAGCTTCCCAAGTTTGCTGGTCTCTGCCTGAACTAAGTCTTGTCCTTACTCATCCTGAGTGTACTCAGTCAACTCTCCATCATTAAACTCTGCTCACTTGTCCTTTACCTTAAAAGCTTATGTACCCTTTAAACAGCCAGCCTTGGACCAATCATCTAATGTACCCTCTAACTTTTCCTCTATTTTGGTTCTTTGGAAAAGGATGAAGAAGCTTTTAAGAGAAGGTATCTTTTGTTGAAATTGGGGTGAGCCATAAGTATCCAACTTAAGAAGTGGAGTTCTGAGGAAGTAGCTTGCAATTCTCTTCCATTTCTATCCTTAAAAATGATTTCATAGCTTCCTAATACTCTGTTATTTACTTACTCATGTCTAGAGCTATGGGATAACTTGCACTCACTTTAAAATTCCTATAATGCTATCCTACTTTATGCAAGTATCAATTTATATTATCATTTAATGTAATATAAAAGTTAATAATATAAATATAAATAATATAAAAATTAATAGTTTCAATTCATGCAAAACACTTGAAATGTAAGTCCAAATATTTTAAGATGTCTTCAGGAACTGCATAATTGTAGTCTGTAGCCTGAGAATGGTGTGCTGTGTTTATGCTAACTCCACATGGTGAAGTTCTTAGCAAGAAAAAAGTATTCTCTCTTTTTTTGGTATTTTATGAATCATATACTTGTTTATGTACACAGTAACTTCTATGCCAGAGTTCAGTCACATTCTACTATTATTTAACCATTTGCTGTCATTATAGTTTAAATTTTTTTGTATCCTCTAACAATGCAACAAGGTAGGCATTTACTGAATGGGGGCTCTAGGAGCAGTGCTAAAAAACATGTCTCAACATTAAGTACTTTGGCAAGAAACTTGGAAGTGAATGAACAAAACTCTACATAAGCCAAATAATTGCCATGGTGGGTTGTGCTATTAGTGTAGAAACAAGCAAAATGAGAAATATTAGAAATAATGCTAAAAAAATTAAATGCACGAATATATAACACAATAGCCAACAGTTTATGCACACTGCATAAATAAATAAATAAATACATCTCACTTTCTTTATCTTTATGCCAGTGGAGAAATTCATCCTTTAAAATTTTGTGGGTTTTTAATTATGTGTTTTGCAACTACCTTTTGTTTAGAGATGCAGCCAGATCCCATATATGTAAGGAAATGGACCTAAATTGCATTTTTAAATAATATGTTTCCTTGTGTTTTTCCTGATTATAAGCAATCATGCTTGTTGCACTAGAAAATTCTAAAATGTGTAAAGATAAAGAACTCACCTAGAATCTCACCACCCAATGGCTAACTTGACTAGCATTTTGACAGTTTGGTTTTTTGCCTGTATATTTTTGCATAGTTTATACATATACAATATTTACATATTATACCAATATAATAAATTTTATATGCATACGATTTTGCATCTTAATTTTTTTTTCACCTTAAATCAAGATTTATCAGGCCACTAAGAACCATCTATGGACATTTTAAAGGCTACAAAATAACTCATCATATGATTATAACATACTTAGTAGTACTATTCCTAATACTAAAACATTAGCTACTTTCCAAGTTTTGCTATTATAAATAAATCTCTGATTGTAACATACTTAATAGTACTACTCTTAATACTGAAACATTAGCTACTTTCCAAGTTTTGCCATTACAAATAAATCTGTGATGAGTATCCTTGAATATAAATTTTATTCCTAGTTGAGTTATTTTTCTCTGAGGAAGTTTCTTAGAAGGAAAATTATTAGATCAAATAGTGTCTTGATACATATTGCTAAATACCATTCCAGAAAGATTAAAGCAATTTACAGTCTTCCTGGCAACAGATGAAAGTACCCATTTCATCCTATCTTCACCCATTAAACATTATTTTTAAAAATACTGTCAATTTTATTAGCAGAAAAAATTTTTATTGTTTTAATTCACATTTTTTATTATTTGTAAATTGGGATTTTCCCTATATTTATTAGCTAGTTTTGCATTTCCTGCTTTGTAAATTGTCTATATATTGTCCTTTGCTCTTTCTGTAGTGTCTTATCAGTTTTCCTGCCTATATGTATATATATACATACCTATTATGTTCTTTGCCTATTAGGCATTAATCCATGAGCTATCATACTTGCTTTCTTTATAGTTTGAATGCTCTTTTTTGATGAGAAAAAATTAAGTAAGAAAACAACATAAAATGTAGTGTCATGAATCCTATACTTCCCTAAATTGGTTTTACCATGGTTTTTAAAACTTTTTAATTATTCTCATCTGTTTACCCTTTTAAATAACTCTTACAGTCTTAGAGTTCTAATAGAAAGCAAAATCCATTTTTAATATAATTAAATGTATGAACTTAATTCATAATTAATTTAGTTTTCCAGTTTCCTAAAATGCTTGTTATTCCCTTATAGTCAAGACTTCTGTCTCAGTTATATTCGGGTGTACATTTGTTAAATAAACTTAATGGCTTCAAACAAGAATTTATTATTATCTTCTTCTTGGAATCTTTCATGGGTTGCAGTCAGAGAGCAGGCAGAGCTGCACCTCAGGCTCAACTAGGCTGGACGTCCAAGATGGCGTCCTCACTCATGAATCAAGCTCATCAGAGCTCCTCTTCATGGCCTCTCCTTCCAAGAGAGTAGCCTTGATTTCTTACATGGGGGCTCAGGGCTCCAAGACTCAGAAGCAGTCTTCTTCAGTCCAGCCTAGATCTGGCATAGTGTCACTGCTGCGGTCTTCCCAAATCAGTTTCCTGGCAGCTCAGATTCAAGGGTGGGGCATTACTCACACTTTGTCGTAGGGAAGTGGCTTGTGGAAGGTCCACCATCCTTGGAGACAAACTACCACATCTTCTTTATTGATCTTTATTTGGTTGAGAATTTTCTTCACAGAAGTATTTAAAATTTGTGTTGCTACAGTAATTTGTGGGTTTTTTCTTTTATAGTTTCCTAAGCAGTACTGATATGAAGCAAAGATATTATTTTTGATATACTTATTTTGCATTCAATCACCTTACTAAATGGTCTTATTTCTACTACTAATTATTTCTCAGTTTAATATCTTAGTTCTCCTAAGAAGATAATAATATTCTCTGAGAATAAAGATGACTTTATTTCCTCCTCTTTTTCAATAGTTAAATCTCTTACCTATTGTACCAGCCAAGACTTCCATAACAAGACTAAGAGGAAGGAGACTTATTTTGTTTCTGATGTTTAATTTTTTAAGTGTAAGTAAAACGAAGTTATAAACTGGACATATGCTACCAACACACGCATCTCCCAGAGCTAAATTACACCACTTACTTTTATGTGTCAATGCGATACAAATGAATTGAAAGGTAGGTTTTTATTCCAGATAAATTGAATTCAGGGGAAAGGACAATAAAACAAGATGAAGAAGAAGATAACTAATACATTTTGGACACTGCAATATTTTCTTCCTGAAATCGATAAACTTCCAAAAATAAATCATAACCATAAAACATTCCATTGACTCCTACAAGTAGCGAATATCTCTAAATAAACACACAACATCATAAATCTCAGCCATTTGTCCTTTCTTCCCAAGCCTGACTATTCACACTAGATGCGAAGAATCCCTGTAAGCACATAAATAAGTAAGTACTAGAATGAGGCTTTCCAGCCATGTCATACTCACGAGTGGCTCATACTCATACGGTGCTGCATATTCCTCAGCGTATGTTGTCAAGGCATACCTAAGAAGGACAAGTCAATATCTGAGAAAAGAACGACTCCAAAAAGAAAGATATTCAAAGTGTTTAATGTTACAGACTTCACACAAAATAAAAACATTTTAAGGAAGATTGGCCCCAACAAAAAATTTTAAAACCTTCAACTGTCCCAGACCTTGTTTATAGCGTTACCTACCATCACAGGATGCCCTTCCTTCAATCACTTCCCATTCAACACCACTTACTCCTCTCCTCTATTAATGATACTCTACTAGTCCCAAGTCCCTGAGCTCAGGTGCATTCCAAACTTTTGGGATTCCCTTTACCTTCTACTTTCCGTCCCTTGAACATTTTTGGCCCTAGGCCCCATGTTCTCTGACAGATGACAACAAAAAAAGAGAAGAGGAGATCGCCAGGTGGACTGAGATTATGTATCTCCCCAACTTCCACCCCATTAAACACACAGAAATGCTGAATAAATACATCCTCCCTCCCCCAAGTCTGTAAGCACCGCTTAGCTCCAAAGGGAAACTCAAAGGTACTAGAAATGAAGAGGATACTCACTAGAATAGAAGTCATAAGATGATGTACCAAGGCTAGAAGCTAGAGTTTGAACTGCACATGAAGGGCTGGAGACATGGCCTTGGGTTCACAGAAGGCAAAGAGCTAACCTCCAACTTATAGCCAGGAGCCTATAAAGTCTGCACCCTCATATAAAAGAAACCAAAGAAACTCCAGCCACCTGTACAGAGAAACTTGCGAGAAAGTTTCTCTGTTTGGAACTCAGGGTGGGAGAAAAATCTTTTTAAGAGAAATAATTAAATTTTAAAAAGCCCTACTTCTGTTTCTGGAATTATTATGAGACTACACAATCGAAGAAACTCCTCTGAGAATTGCACACCTAAAAATGTTGGGCACAAGGAAATTTAACCATTTTAATGCATGGCTCTGCTGGTGGGAAAGAGAATTCAACAAGCAAAAGAATTCCAAAATAACAAGAAAGTCGAACTCAGAATGGTTATTGGATACAGGTGCTAATATCTTATCTGGTGGTAACCACCAGTTCCTGTTAGGCTTTTGAGGTGTGGCTTCCAGAGTAATAGTGTTAGCATTATTTGGAAACTTGTTAAGAATACATACAACTGGGATCCAGCCTCAATCTGCTGAATTAGAAACCCAGGGGTAGGGCCCAGCAGTCTATGTTTTAACAAGCCTTCTAGGTGATGCTCATGCACACTTAAGTTTGAGTACTGGCAGCTAAAAGAACAAAAATTAGAAGTGTAAGTTTCAAACTAGCAAATAAATTTTTAAAAAGACCAATCTAATAAAAAAGTAGGAAAGGAGGTGCCTGAGTGGCTCAGTCAGTTAAGCGCCTGCCTTCCACTCAGGTCAAGATCACAGGGTCCTGGGATGGAGCCCCATGTCAGGCTCCCTGCTCAGTAGGGAGTCCATTTCTCCCTCTGCCCCTGATCCCACTAGTGTTCTCTCTCCCTCTCTCTCTCTCTCTCAAATAAATAAATAATTTTTTTTAAAAGGCAGGAAAGGAGAATTAAAGGAAGAAAAGAAAATCATTTCTGTTCATAAGACAAATTAAAATCATAAAAATAAAAATAAGTATCTTTGCAATCAAAATGAAAGTAAAGGGTTAAACTCATCAGTGAAAGCATTTCTCAGACTTAAACTGAACAACATGTATTACATAGTACAACTCTATGTTTCTATACCTAGAATACCTAAACCTAGAATAAAATTATTTTCAAAGAAAGTTTGAAGGTAAAATCATATAAAAAGATACATAAAAAAAGATACATCCAGAAAATATTAACACGAAGTTAGTGTTCTTATATTAATAACATGTAATTGACTTTCTGTCAAAAGTTTTTAGTTATAAAGATCATTACCTACTGATCAAAGCACCAGGAAGATCCTAAGTCAATAAAGCTAACAACACATTGAATATGTAAGTCAACAAATGACAGAATCACAAAAATAAAATGACAAGTCTACAGTCAGGACAAGATTGTGATCCTAGATCACAATCCTAGGTCCTTTGATTCCTTAAACCCAAATATTTACATATACCCTCCAAAACAATATAGATCAGCAGCAAAAGCAAGTGAAATCACAAAATTGCCCACCCAAGAGGATAAGACTACAAATTTCAGTTTACATGTAGGTGGGGGAACAATCCAAAAGCAGGAGCACCAGAACCAGAGCCTATTCTGAAGCAAAATCAGGCAGGGATTACATGGAGGAGAGGAGAGGGTGGCAAGTCCATCATGGGGATGGAACACAGAAGGCATCAGCCCCAAAAAGGAAGGATCATTCCCCTTGGGGAAATACTGAGAACAAGTCTGAGACTAGCGGATCTGAACACTGGCTTTCCAAGAAAGAGGCCCGGAAAGTATTCAAGACCACAGTGACAGTCTTAGGAAGGTGCTGCCTCTGGGAAGGTAAAGAAAAATAAGAACTCATGTTCAGAAATTAAGGGTCCACGCTTTAAACCACCGCGCTTTAAAAAAAAGATGCCTTTAATGAGATAACATTCACTGCAGTGATCCAACAATAGAGGGCACTCTTGAACTAAGAGATTGAGAAAACGGTCCAAATGTCTCATTGCCCCTCCTTAGAATTAACTGATTGTTGCTAGTCCAGGAAAAGTCAACATACTCAAGATGAACAGAGAGTGCAACATTACTGTAAGATGAAAACAGTAAATGAGAATCAAAACTAAACTGATGAAACTTTCTCCAGAAACATTCCCAAACAGTCACAGAAGTCCTCCTACAGTCTTTCTATTCAATGAACTGGATTCTATTCTATGAATCGGAGATTTGAAAAAATGCAGTAAAACAAGAAAAAGAAAAAGTGTAATAACTGGGATGGAAAAAACAGAATTTTCATCTTCCACAGATGATAGTCTACATTAAAACAATCCAAGAGAATCTACAAATCATAACAACAGTCAAGTATCATGAAGGTTGTTAGATACAAGATCAATATACAAAAATAGCATACCCATATACCAGCAACAAGAAATTAGAAAGCATAATTAAAGTGGAAATGTCCCATTTATAACTATAATAAAATCTCTAGTGTTCCTATATGAATACATCTAAAAGAACACTTAAAAGACATTTATGACAAAAATTATAAAATTTGCTTAAGGACATAAAATAACTCATGTATTTATAGACTCAATATTTGTTCTATATACATACATGTGTGTATGTAAATTTCTAAAAGGTTCATAATCTGGCATTTTATATATAACTCTTGATTAAATTGTCATTTAAAATTTCTATTAATCAAAAGACAACATAAACAGTGTTCCAAGAGAAATCACAGGCAAGAAGATATTTATTTTAAAATGAAGTCAAATAATATTAGTATCAAGAATAAATAAAAAATGCTTAGAAATCAATAAAAGACAATATTCTATAGAAAAAAGGCCTAAGGCGATAAATAGCTCACAGTGGAAGAAAATAAAAGGGCTAATAAACACTTGAAAACAAATTCAGTCCTAAAACTGTCTTTGGGACGCCTGGGTGGCTCAGTTGGTTAAGCCGCTGCCTTCGGCTCAGGTCATGATCCCAGGGTCCTGGGATCGAGTCCCACATCGGGCTCCTTGCTCGGCGGGGAGCCTGCTTCTATCACTGCCTCTGCCTGCCTCTCTGCATGCTTGTGTGTACTCTCTTTCTCTCTCTCTGACAAATTAAAAAAAAAAAAACTTAAAAAAAAAACTGTCTTAAATTCAGTAGTGAAGTGGTAAAACAACCACAAAGTGTCACTGTATTAAATCCATTTGGTAAAAATTAAAAATCTCTACAATGTACACAAGAATATGAAAGTAAGAGCATATTCACACACTATGAGTGGCAATATCTTGCAAAACTGAAGGTGCATATATCTTAATAAGTGGCAATTATATTTTTGAGTATTAAGAAATCCTTGCATATATACTCAAGGTAAGAGATATAAGGATATTCAATCTAGCTTTATTTGTAACAGTGAAAAACTGGAAGCCAATGTCCATCAATATGGTGGATATGTTGGATGACTCTATAATTCATGATAAATTGTTTCTCTAAAAAGAATTTTTAAATATGGCAAAACTATTAACTTATAGTATAACTCGGTAATAAGTAGATGGATGTCCGAAGAGTATTTTATATGAAAATATTCCATAATCTTAAAATGTTTAAGTGTTAATAGATGACAGTGAACTTGTTTCTCTACCCTATTCTCATCCAAAGTTATGACTCAAATAGTATAATTATCAGTCAAATAGAGTGTTACTTTGGGCAGGCCAATTTGCAAGATGGAGTTGAGCAACTCTTGATGCACCTAAAGCAAGCAGAAACCCATATCCCACTCAAGTTCAGGCCCTTCTCCCATTCTTTATTATCACCTCCAAGCACAAAGTCTGATACAAGGCAGGCACTGAGAAATTAATCAAACACATAAAGCAATAAAAAAATTTAGATATAAAAAAATGAATAAATACAGATTTACTATAAGAAATCAAAGTAAATAAAGGTGGAAGGTTAAAATATTCAGTGATCTTTCTGAAAATGCAATGTGACTCATCAATATGGAAACTTTTACAATACTGAATGATGACTGTTAGTCAGTTATAAACCATTGGATAACATTCCCCCCATCCCCACTTTTCAATCTGAAGAATAGGGAAAAATCTTTAAGTGATATATATTTTATCCAATTTGAAACAAGATGGTCTTTTGAAAATAAAACCATGGAAAATCAACATAGATCTTCCTTTTAGATATCAGCTAAAGGCTATAGCCAAATAAAGAATATAATGAAAGAATAAGTCCATTAGAAGGCAAATGGCCTTCAGAGAAACTCAAGAAAGCAAGATAAGAAAACTAAGGGAGGCATGGGTTCTAGGCACAAGAAAGAGGTGTCCTGGCTCATAAAGAGACCTCTCTGGAGGTTCTGGGAGCAGAGCTGCAGGAAACCAAAGTCAGTGCTCCAGTCCAACTTATGACAGCCAACAATAA